ATTTTGCCTCAACATAATGGATTTGTGCAGTTAGGCACACCTCCAAATGACATTTTCAAGAAATTTTGGAGGACTTTGGAGGACTTTGGCTGAATGCAATTTTTTCATGTAGACAATTGGAGGATTTTGGAGGGTTCAGGATGGTTTCCAGTAAAAAGCCAAGGGGATTAGGGTTAAACAACGCACCACACAAATACTCCCTCCTGACAGTGACCAGACTACCAGCAGCTTCTCAACTCTGAGATTTTGAAGATCACCATCTGTGTTCATGTCATGGACTTGTCCCACAGGACAAGAAATGCATTATTTACCTTCTTTGCCTCAAGGTTTAAACAGAGTACAAAACAGATGGCAAAACAAACAAGCTGCCATGATCAACTGTTTTCTGGCAAAGACAAGAAGAAACACCTGACTTAGGATGAAGCAATCTCTACTCCCTCATCCTTCCTTGCATTCAAGAGGAACTGGTTTCTTCTCCTACCTTCCTTCTGCCTCAAGGGGGAATAACTGTGAATATCCATCGGTGAGAACAGATCCTCATGCACCACTCTCAGGTTTCCACCGTCCATTTTATTACAAGCGTGTATTGAGTGCGTCTCCCAGTCGGTCCAGTACAGAGTGTCCTCAAACAGCGTCAGCGCAAAGGGGTGGGGCAGGGACCCCTGGAGCACCTGCTCCCGGTTCCCGCCGTCAAAGTTGCACCTGTGGATGTAGCTGTATTTGGCATCTGCCCAGTACAGCTTCGATGTGTCATAGTCTAACGTTAAGCCATTTGGCCAAAAGATGTTTGTGTCTATGATGACCTTGCGGTAATGTTCTGATCCATCCATACCGGCGCGCTCAATCTTGGGAATTTCTCCCCAGTCTGTCCAGAAAAGGAGCCTGTGTAAAGAAAATTATACAATATGATTAATTTGTATCCAGATTGCCAGTACGTGTTTGCAAGCCTCATGGAAATAGTTGCAAAAAAACCTGTGTCAAAGAGTCAAATCAAACGGTGCTTTCAATCAATTATGAATGTACTTCAACTTTCAAATTATACGGTAGGTCATGAATTGGACAACATCTGACATTAAAACAAATCACACCAAAGCTTGAAGGGAGTAGAAATTTATGCTTCAGATCAGGAGTTCTACAGGACACTCGGAAGTAAAACTTGCATCTATCTGTCCCATCTCTATATCCTCCAGAGATAAGCTATTTAATTAATAGATAAGGCAGTTACATCACTATATTGTCAGTTCGGTTTATCAACAAAAACACACACCAATGACGCACAATAAATACATTGTATCAACTCAGTGGATTATGACAATGTACACACATGTACATGTACTGAGCATAACTTAAGATTTTACAACAAATCTTTCCCGGTAGAATGCGGATTTTTGTCAGATCTACTGTACGTTTTTATACATTTATTTCTTTCTAAATTATTAAATTTATCATTAATAAATCTATTATTAAGGTTATTATAATTTACCAGTTACATGTGCATGTAAATAAAATTCAATTGTAAACTAAATTCCTTTCTTTTCAGTCTTAAGACGACACAGTACAACTAACGGGGGGGTTGTCTTCAAGCATGTTTAATTTCACAACTATCGTAAGACTGCACCAACCATGCGAGTTGAATGTCTGCAAGCAGCATTAGCATGGATGCTTGCTGACGCTTATTGCTAGAGTCTAAAAATACACTCAAGGCATGTGACAAAATGTAATATCCAGCCAAATTGCCCGGATTGTTTGTGCTCTTGTGCCCACTGGGGAGGCTCCACTGGTTTCCCTACCCCCTCAGATGGTTCTTTTCTTCTCTCGTTTCACTCAAGTACCCCCTTTTCCCCTCCCTCGTAAAAAAAATTTGGCCGATTCCGTTCTCAAATATCCGGGCGAGCCTACGGGAGGAAAAGGAGGAAGGCTAGCCAACATGTTCCTGTCGCGTATCGATTGGAACTTGTCTCCAGCAGGTCTAGCTGAGTATGGATCAGCATTTTTCCTTTCTCCTTTATTTTTAAAAGCATTCTTTCTTATTGGGATGAGAAATTTCTCTCTATCTTTTGGCTACTGGCCTGGGGGCTCCTTCTGAGTTATATAGAGATGTGTGTGGTTTGTACCCATCTTGCAGGGATTGTGGTTAGTGGAGGTGGGGTACCGTACTAAGTCTTTGATTACATGTCGTCAGCGTTATTAGTCTGCATCCTTTTTTAGCAAAAATGTACATCTTGTCAAAGCTTTGACAATGCCTTTGCGGGAGAATCCACGGGAAGAAAATAATTTTTGAACACACAAACTGTGGGGTGTCATTGCATGCAAAATTGCAGAATGATTGTCATATTTCCAAAAGAAATTAGCGAGCAGCATGCGATTCGTTCTCCTACCGGTAGTTACTCTATCATTAACAATGCAATCACACTTCAGATTATACCCAGCATTTCAAAAGTACAAACAGAATCGAATTTTGCCTTGAATTGAGAAAAAGGCCATCCAAGCCAACACTGAAAACTATTTGATCAATACCAGCGATCTCCCTGAAGATCCCTTCAGGCCACAAGAAATCAATTCTCATGTACTTCTTTCGCTGCTGGCTATTTCCAGTCTGGGCAAGAAGACTGGATGGCGTTCTGCTACCAGCTTGATTGACATCCGACAAAATTTCATTAGTTTTTCAAGTGTGTGAACGTAACTTGTGTAATGAGTCACTTGGTCTGACACAACTTAAACTACATACACACGTCCCACTATAGATTTCTAGAATGGCTTCCAAAACACTTTCTTAACCTTACCAGTCCCAAATCCTACAATTTCAATACAATTTTACATACACCCTTGGGGTTAGGGCTAATTAAAGATCAGATTAATTCATACACTTCAATCACTGGTACATGTACATGTAGATAACTGATAACAACAGGTTACATGATCTACGGTACATACCATATAGCTCAGTACAGTGTACACATGTATCTGGGTATGGAAACTCTATAGGTCTGCATGTACATGTTCCACTCTATAGGCCTACATGTGCATGTTCCACTCTATAGGCCTACATGTACATGTATGTGTACATGTACCTCTCTAATGCCATTCTATTTTTCACCTGAAGCTCCCCCGATGAAAAATACTGGGCAAGCGTGCAGATTTAGGCCCCCCAAACAAGGACATTTTCTCCAACGGCCCCATAAATTGATTGACCTGTGGAACTTGATTGAATCACCTGCAGTGTTCACCAAAGGGGAATAATTATCAATACCATTATTATGGTTGGCACTGAGGCATACATGTGGATGGACCTGATACAGAAATGAACACAAAGTGTAAAAACATTGTCCGCATGAACTTAATCAGGGACAATCACACGGTACCAGTACATGTGCTGCATTTGAGGATGCTTAAGAAATTCTACCAATTTCTGCAGTAGCTTTCCTGCTTCATTCCTGTTGTGTAAACATGTACGGGTGTACATATCATACTCGTGATTCTATGCAGCACTGTTGAAATACGTTGTTTTATTTTCACTCTGATAAATGTACATTGTACATGTACTTATGTACCACACATGCCCGGTATATTTTCTTGTTTCACCTTTGAATTATGGCAAATTTATTGTCCGACAAAATAACTTTTTTTCAAATTTTGGCAGGTCAGAATAGCGGAATGAAGGAAACCAGCAGAATGTCTTCTACACGTAGAGTATTTCATGAGCTTCTTTGACTAATTCCCTAAAGTATCCGTAGTGTACAAAAAGCAGATTTTACTAATGGATTCTCAGACTGGCACCACCATACATGTACATGTAGGTTGCCTTCACAATGCATTTCGTGTTACTGCGTGACACAGGGGATTAGACTTCTGGGAGCAACCTAAACAAAGACAGCTGTCAGCCTGAGACATGTCCGACCCTGAACCGCCTCTCAGAAACAGCAGTGAGAAAAGATCACTCTAAGACTGAATAGATGGGAATGAACAAACACATTTTACATCCCTCCCCGTGCCACGGTACACCACTGAAATGACTGAGCACGTCAGAGGGAATAATGCCACGGAAGACTGCCTCTATTGTGGCCTAACATGATGTGAACAATCCTACACAATATAGGCACGGGAAGGTTGAAGGCAGAGCAGCAACACAGGTTTTCGTGCTACCTGGTAAATGAAGAAAAAAAAAACTCAAGCCAAAGAGGACAGGTCATTTTTCTTTACCCGCTAAGCCCTGTCTGTCTAAACACAGGGTTGAGTTTAACTTCTCTTTTTTTTTTTTTCCTGGGGAGCGATTCATGTGAACCAACCTAACCCTGCTAAAGGAAAAGAGAGAGGTTGCCTGCCCTGAACAAACATGACCTTTGACCCTGGTCCTCTGGTAGCCTGTCAATCATACGTCAAGCTGTCTGGCATTACACAGGCTGGAATGTGCAATGCTAGGAGCAGGGGCCAAGTTCAGGAAGATAAGAGGCAATGGTAGTGTTTACTTTGGATGGGGTATGGCAGTACATGTACATGAACAGCATACTGGGTACATAACATTACTGTCTATGCACATGCATGCTTATGGTAAATGTGTGCACCGGTATACATGTACACCTCAAGGGTTTTCACTCAGTTATTAAAATTGGCCCACACACGCATTTAACGCCCTGGTATATTCACATCGAACGGTAGATGAACAATGTTCATGTACATGTACACCTCCAATATTCAATTTTGGGCTATCGGCATAATACACGTGCTCATATTTACATCCATTTTTTTAAACTACAAGTAATTCGCTGTGAGAAAACATAAAAAAATAATTCGCACAATTTTCCTATAAGAAACTCTCAAATACTGCACGAATACATGTACAAGTTCCGGTACAGTGTACCTGTACAGGGTGCTTGGATTTCAAATCCACCCAACAACTGGATAAATACCCATACATGTCACATGTACGATATCCCAATGATCAGTTTGCTGTTACAAAATGAATGTACCATACAAAGACATGATCAATGGCACCAGCTCTGCACTAGGTACATGCATGAGCTGGAAGGGAAAAATTATCCTTTTTTTTAAATGTTGCACTTTGGTACGTGTGCTGAGGGGGTCATTTCTAGGGCGAAAACAGAACTTGATATACATGTACTTACATGTGGGCAATTTGAATACCGATCTGGTTTATTCACCTCCTCCCCCCCATCCCCTCTATCCTTTTGGGCTTTTGATTTGATAGGAAATGACACCACACTCCCACGAGTAGACCCTGTGATTTCATTGCCTATAGAGAACTCTGCTGTACTGACAGATGAGCTCCCAATCAAATGTGACAGCTTCCGTGATTAAAATGTGCTGTGTGTATGTAACATGTACTTTTTTGACCCAATCAGAGCAGAGGGCAGATCCAATCAAGTACACGTACATACAGTACATGCGTATGACGTGGCCAGGATTGTTGCGACACCAGTGCTTATCAATACTTTGAATTTAACTGCGTTATGATTGAAAGATCCTCACCGCCAAGAAGCAACCTGAACACAATTGTTCACTCTTTGATGGATTGCATGCAGACTGCTTCAAAGTTTTACTGCAGGACAATTACGTGTACATATTTACAGTATCAATTCTGAGACCTACTGGAAATCTTCCCAAATTCAGTGTTAAAATTTTCCCACTAAAGAAGTCAGCAAAAGTGCGCTTCATGAAGCCTGATTAACAACTCAATTCACAGGAATTTAAATGCTAGTACCGGTACATGTACATAGAAAATGAAAATTTTTTGCTATCCAAAAGAATTCCCTGACAGAATTTGCAAATTAAAGACAGGCAATTCCTTCCTCAAATATTTGTCATCCAACCAACAGTATGACAAATAAGAAGACTTTCCTCCTTTAAGAACGAGCAAGTTGTTTGCACATCTTCAAAAACTCTGTGAACTCAAAGACCTCAGGACAAAAAAAATGGATTCCCAGCTAATCCCTGCTTCTGCCACTAGAGCAACCTCCCATACAAACACAACAGCCAACCCCTGCTCTCACACACTAAAGTACAATGTAATTAGGACAAGGTGGCCCATTCAGCCATCCCCTTTATCTCTTGGGGATTCCAAACAAAGACAGCAGGGCTTGAGTGACAGGCCATTTGGGCCCAGCTTTACATGTTTATAACAGAAAGGATGGAAGAAACTTGAACCATGATAAAAAGCAGGAAAGAATGCTAAACTTTTACTCGGGAAAGTTTGTACATGTATTTGGAAGTTAATAGGGGTTTGATACAATGAAGTTTTAATCAATTGGTATTGAAAGTTTTTGACTTGAGATATTGCCCAAAATGTCACCTCAATTCCTGCAGCCGGTGGCAAAACAATATGAGTCTGTTCTACATGTACATATTGAAATTCTACTGGTAAATACAGGTATCAAAGAAAAAAAAACTGCCACAGTTATCCGAACAGTACATAAATAAGCATGATTGACTGCCAACAGATCTACCGTACATGCACTCAAGTTTTTCCACACAGTGTTCTTACAGTATCAATCAGAATCACATCAAAGAGTTTTGTTAACATTAACACACATGCTTATGTGACAACAGGATCGACCGAGAATCCTTGCCTTGTAACAAACCACCGGTAAAGTTACACGTACGGTTAGGGTTAACCACATACATGTACACACATGCAGGCTAGGGATCCCCACAACAACAATAGGTAATCTACCAGAAACCAACAGCCCAGTGCTCACACAATGCCACAGCAAGTTTGATGTTTTCTTCACCCAAATCACAGGGAAGAGGAAAGTTAGTAGACATGACAGTGCTTCAGGTGTGAGTGACTAAAGAGACAGACAATGCTGACTGTGAATGGGACAAATGCGAGGCGCTTTACAGTTGGCTAGAATGGGGGCAAATCAAACCTTTACTCAGGGTGTGTGTGTGTGAATGCATTGTGTGCAGGCTGAATGTGTACTGTTCATTGCTACTACTACCACAGATCAACAAGAACCCAGCAAATCCTATCAGGATTCCTGCACCTTAAGAACTATTAAATTCTGTGACTTTTCCATGACCAACTTGAGAAAATCCAAGTCAATTTCTTGGACTATTTAAACTTTAAAGTTATGATAAAATCACGCATGGACGGGTACATTTTTCTTGAAATACATGTAAAAGTGTCCATTGTTCATAGCCAAGAATAGCAGTCAGCAAATTGACCTTTGATTTGTTTTTTTCCTTTTCACACGAGCGGTGAGCAACATGTAAACCACAGATTGGGGAAATAAAATCTCACCTCGGGCAAGTAAATTTTCAGTGCTACTTGCCTGATAAGTACCAGTAGTTAAAAAAATTAATGTTGAGGCCTGCTTTTCACAGATACACTGTATTTTGCATGACTTCAAACTTTATAGTTGAAAGCCACGATATCTTTATTTTTCAATCCACATTTCACTGAATAATTCTACCTTGCAGCTCTGGAAAACTGACTTCCAGGTCTTAATTTGTTACCCTTCTATTTCTCTCTTAACCCTTACCCCCTAGGCTCCTGCACTAGAAAGCATACTAACCCCACAAAATCCAACAGGTTCATGTACTTGTCTATGTACTTGTACATGCAGGTTAGTGTACCAAACCTGATAAACTCCAACTGAATGAGCCCGTTGGAGTTTGAGTGATATGGTATGGATGGGTCTATGCAGGATGACTTGCATTGAACAGTACCAAACCTGACAAAATCAAGCATAGTCCAACAATTGGTACAGCATGTCCTGTGTGTCCCAACTCACACAGAATCCAACACCAT